ACCCTGTACCTTCAACTGGCCCTGGATTCACCCCTCTGATCCACATGAAATCAACCTCTAAAGTGTTGGCTCTGCTTACAAATATTAACATTTAAAATTGAAATCAGGCCGGGCACGGTGGCTCTTGCTTGTAATACCAGCTTTTTGGGAGGGCAAGGCGGGTGGATCACTTGAAGTCAGGAGTTCGAGACTAGCCTGGCCAACATAGTGAAACACCGTCTCTACTAAAGATACAAAAAATTGGCTGGGCGTGGTGGTGCGTGCCTATAATCTCAGCTACTGGGGAGGCTGAGGAAGGAGAATCACTTGAACCCAGGAGGCGGAGGTTGCAGTGAGTGAAGATCGCAACATTGCACTCCAGCCTGGGTGACAGGGCGAGACTCCAACTCAGAAATAAATAAGTAAATAAATAAATACAAAAAATTAGCCGGGCATGGTGGTGCATAACTGTAGTCCCAGCTACTCTGGCATCTGAGGCACAAGAATCGCTTGAAGCTGGAAGGTGAAGGTTGCAGTAAGCCAAGATCACGCTACTGTACTCCAACCTGGGCAACAGCGAGACTCCATCTCAAAAAAAAATAATAATAATAATCGTATTAGATCAACTCAGGTGAATTTTTATTGAGCAACTTTGCCCTGCAGTGAATTCTCCTGAGCCAATTTAATTCTTTGATAAATGTCATATAGTGGTGCAGTTAACCCAAAACAATTTTGGCCATTTTCATTTCTCTGAAGTTATTGCCACTGTGATCATTTTCTGGTTAATTTTTACAATGATGATTCAATCCATACATTGGTTCTCTCATCTGTGTCAGCTTCAAGCAGTAACAGCTTCCCTCAGATAGCTCCTTGGCCTCAGGCTGCTCCTTGACCATTTCGGGCACATTCTTGCTCTGGCGACTTGGTACCAATTGTTCATTCTGCCAGAAATGCTCTTGCATCTGTGTAGCTCATCTCAGGCTTCCTTCATATTTTTTTCCTCAAGTAATCACTTTTGCTGACTACCCTATTTAAATTCAGGTTCTACCCTCCCCCAACTCCCTGACACCCTCTTACCTTATTTATTTATTTATATTTTTGAGACAGGGTCTTGCTCAGTCACCCAGGCTGGGGTGCAGTGTCGCGATCTCAGCTCACTGCAACCTTCGCCTCCCAGCCTCCAGCAATCCTCCACCTCAGCTTTCTGAGTAGTTGGGATATAGGTGTGCACAACCACACCCAGCCAATTTTTGTATTTTTTTGTAGAGATAACGTTTTGCCATGTTGCCCAGTTGCCCAGGCTGGCCTCAGACTCTTGGTCTCAAGTGATCTGCCCACCTCAGCCTCCCAAAATGTTGGGATTACAGGTGTTACCCACTGAACCCAGCTCCTGTATTTAAAGTTAATGCATACTTATCACTTCCCTACATACATATAATATACAAATTAATTGTGCTGTTTATTTTCTGTCTCTCCCAGCTGGAATATAGGCTCCATGAGGGCAGGAATTTTTAAATCTTTTATTCCCTGCTGTATCCCTATTGCCTATAACAGTGCCTGGGAAGGAGGATCGCTTGGGTCCACGAGGTCCAGGCTGCAGACAGCCATGGTCACTCCACTAGTAACTCCAGCCTGAGCAACAGAGCAAGACCCTATCTCAAAACAAAAATAAAAACAAAACAACAAAAACAGTGCCTGGGGCCCCGTAGGCACTTCAATAAATATTTGTTGAATGAATACCTCCTGTCATTCTGAGTTTTATTTGTGGACAGTTTCCATTGAGTCTAATATTTCAGGATCAAAATTTGCAGCTCCACATTTTGTTAACATTGAATCCTTCCTTCCATCCATTTTCCCTTGATATATTTTCAACTTCACAGTTTGGCTGCTGTGAGTTTATTCTGTGGTGCTTATGTTTATTGGTAATAGTTACTGTGAATCTGGTAAGATGTTCTGTTTTTATTTTCTGGGTAATCCTTGAGAAAAACTGTAAGCAATCCCCCGTAGACACTCCAAAATTGTCTGGCATGGGCTTTGCTAATCTGGGTTTTCTTTTTTTTTTTTTCTTTTTTTTTTTCTTTTGAGACTAAGTCTCACTCTGTTGCCCAAGCTGGAGTACAGTGGTGCAATCTTGGTTCACTGCAACCTCTGCCTCCCAGGTTCAAACAATTCTCCTGCCTCAGCCTCCCAAGTACCTGAGATTACAGGTGCACGCCACCATGCCCAGCTAATTTTTGCATTTTTGGAGACGGGGTTTCACTATTTTGGCCAGGGTGGTCTTGAACTTCTGACCTCATGATCCACCTGCCTCGGCCTCCCAAAGTATGTTTCTTGACCTGAGTGCTGATTACATAGGTGTGCCTAATTTATAAAAAGTAAATGAGCTTTATGGGCTTTTCTGCATGTATATATTAATTCAATGATTTATAAAGAGTCAGCCAGTGGCTGGGCCACGATGAGGGAGGGGAAATGTAGTATTGTAGTCAGAATGGGGCCAGGGCTTGGATTTTAAGATTAAGTCTAAGTGCAGCCCTTTGACCAGAATGGAGGCTTCTAGAGAGCCCTGGAGCTTGATGAGGCAGAGCAGAGGGGAAGGAGAAGTGTTCATCCTCAGGGACTGTCAGCCAGAAGGCAAGGATGGGTATGGGATGTCACCTACACAGGAGGTATCAATACCAAACGTTTATCAAGCACATACTATGCCAGTCACTGCTCTAAGTGAACAGAAGAGCTGGGTGCGGTGGCTCACACCTACAATCCTAGCACTTTGGGAGGCTGGGGTGGGCAGATCACGAGCTCAGGAGTTTGAGACCAGCCTGGCCAGCATGGTCTCTACTAAAAATACAAAAAATTAGCCAGGCATGGTGGCATACACCTATAATCCCAGCTACTTGGGAGGCTGAGGCAGAAGAATTGCTTGAATCCAGGAGGTGGAGGTTGCAGTGAGCCGAGATCTCGCAACTGTACTTAAGCCTGGGTGACAGAGCGAGACTCCATCTCACACACACAAAAAAAGTGAGCAGAACATACCTGAATACCTGCCCTTCTGGAATTTACATCCTGGTGGGGGATGAGTGGGGAGAATATGCTCTCTGGGTGCCAGGCTAAGGTTAATATACAGGGGTTATTGCTCCAGTATACCCAGGTACTTGGTTGCTAGGGTACCATGCCCCTTTCACTTCCATAGTTCCACTAACTGCAGGAAGGAGGGGAGAGAGTGCTCCCTTTTACACATTAGTACTCTCTGCTTTGGGGTGTATACACTTGAGTTGGGAGACTGGTCCCACAAAGCAGTGCTGGGGCAAGGGAAGCACTCAGGGTCCTCCTTACTTGTAGGAAGGCTCATGCAGATATGGCTCCCACCTCAGCCACATATAAGTGGATGTGGGCTCTCCTGAGACTCAGTAGCTAGAAGTAGAGCATCGCCTCTGGTGGTGAATTTGGCAAGCCAGATTTTCTTCCTGCAGCCAGTAGCTGGAAGCTCCTACACCCTCCGAAGCCCCAGGTAGGGACAAGCACAGAGATGGTAGCAATGAATCCATGAGGTAGGGATTTGAATGTGGGAGCTGTGGAAGAAGGGCCACGAGGGGGAAGGCAGAAATGCCAGGAGAGTGAAGGGAAGCTCACACTTAACAGAGATGCCTTTGAAAGAAACAAACTCAGCCAAGGCCAGAACAAGTCCCCTACTCCATCTGCCAGACTGACAGAGAGCAACCCTGGTGCAAGGAGACAGCCTATTCCCACAGAGGAAGAAAGTAAAGGAGAAAAGACCTCTTGATTTCGAGACACGGAAAGACAAAGTGAGGAAAGGTGGGTGAGGGGAGAAACAGACACACGTGCACACACACATACACAGATGCGTATTTTGAGTTAGAGATCATCCAGATTTGGGGCAGAAGGGAATACAGGCATCCAGACTCACCAACACACAGGACAGGGGCAAACCCCAAAGCCCAGAGAGAAGCAGAGGGGATAGGGAGGGGAGACAAAACACCCACCCTTAGCAACAGAAAGCCCTGCACTCACCCTCCACCTTAATCCCTGGTCGCCCTGGCCTCTCTTCAAACATAGTAGGTCCCAGTGAGGTAGTCTGGCTTTAAAGATAGCTGCCAACAATTTCTTCCCATGTGCCACACTCCCATCCAGAGGAGCCCCGAGCCATCATGTAAGAGGCTGAGGTTAGGCCGGGCATGGTGGCTCATGCCTATAATCCCAGCACTTTGGGAGTCTGAGGCAGGTGGATCACCTAAGGTCAGGAGTTCGAGACTAGCCTGGCCAACATGGTAAAACCTTGTCTCTACAAAAAATACAAAAATTAGCTGGGCGTGGTGGCAGGCGTCTGTAATCCTAGCTACTCGGGAGCTGAGGCAGGAGAACTGCTTCAACCTGGGAGGCGAAGGTTGCAGTGAGCCGATTGCACCACTGCACTCCAGCCTGGGTGACAAGAACGAAACTCCATTTCAAAACAAAAAAACAAAGAAAACAAAAACTAGGCTATTCTGCTGGAGAGAGGCCACATGGAAGAGGACTGAAGTGCCAGACATGTGAGTGAAGAAGCCATCTTAGACACCCAGCCCAGTTGAGCCTTTAGATGACTCCAGCCCAGCCACCATCTAGCTGCAACTACCTGAGACCACAAGAAGAGCCACCTTACTGAGCCCAGCCAACCCACAGGGCCATGAGAGAAGACTGAATTGTGGTTTTAAGCCACTACATTTTAAGGTGTTTGCTACACAGCAATACATAACCAGAACACCCAGGAAAGGCTGCAGCAGCCCTTTTAAAGCTTCCAACACCACCACCCCATGTCCCCTTCACAATACAATCAACACCAGCAAGTCAGACTTTCAGCCTCTTTATTTGTTTCC